TATATATATATATATATATATATATATATATATATATATATATATATATATATATATATATATATATATATATATATATATATATATATATATATATATATATATATATATATATATATATATATATATATATATATATATATATATATATATATATATATATATATATATATATATATATATATATATATATATATATATATATATATATATATATATATATATATATATATATATATATATATATATATATATATATATATATATATATATATATATATATATATATATATATATATATATATATATATATATATATATATATATATATATATATATATATATATATATATATATATATATATATATATATATATATATATATATATATATATATATATATATATATATATATATATATATATATATATATATATATATATATATATATATATATATATATATATATATATATATATATATATATATATATATATATATATATATATATATATATATATATATATATATATATATATATATATATATATATATATATATATATATATATATATATATATATATATATATATATATATATATATATATATATATATATATATATATATATATATATATATATATATATATATATATATATATATATATATATATATATATATATATATATATATATATATATATATATATATATATATATATATATATATATATATATATATATATATATATATATATATATATATATATATATATATATATATATATATATATATATATATATATATATATATATATATATATATATATATATATATATATATATATATATATATATATATATATATATATATATATATATATATATATATATATATATATATATATATATATATATATATATATATATATATATATATATATATATATATATATATATATATATATATATATATATATATATATATATATATATATATATATATATATATATATATATATATATATATATATATATATATATATATATATATATATATATATATATATATATATATATATATATATATATATATATATATATATATATATATATATATATATATATATATATATATATATATATATATATATATATATATATATATATATATATATATATATATATATATATATATATATATATATATATATATATATATATATATATATATATATATATATATATATATATATATATATATATATATATATATATATATATATATATATATATATATATATATATATATATATATATATATATATATATATATATATATATATATATATATATATATATATATATATATATATATATATATATATATATATGAAAGAGAGACTAAAAGACAAAAAAGTGGATGTCCAAGTCAAAGGATGGAACACCCCAAATTGAACTAAAAACGATTTGTTGTAAGTGATGGAGAACTTCATACTCGTACTCTCTTCAACTTGTTGATATTTTAACAGAGAATTTACGAGATTTTTCAATCTCAAATTGAGGCTCCAATAAGCTAACCTACTTATGTTTCTAAAAAATCATATAATTATAAAAGAAAATTGTACATTTATATAATTTGTACAAATTAAAAATAAAGAAAACAATATCAATATTTTATTCTTCAAAATAATAAAGTCATCATAGTTGAGACTTCATCTTCTTTTATTTTCTTAACAGTTTTGTGTTTAATGATTTTCATATCAATATACCCCTGTAACGTGCTCAACACAACTGTCTCCCCAACTGCCTTCTGGGGAATTTCAGAAGTTACATGGGGTATATGTCGCGGTTCTCTGGGCAACCGCGGCATATATCCCCTGTAACTTCTGAAATTCTCTGACCCAGTCAGCACCTGCAATAAATTGGGTGGGTATATGCCGCGGTTCCCCAGAGAACCGCGGCATATACTCTGTTATTTAATTTTTTATTCATACGTGGCGTCAAAGGCAATGGTTGACTGGGGTATATGCCGCGGTTCCCAGTAGAACCGCGGCATATAGGTTCGTTTTATTTACAAAACTGCTACCGCGCACCATTATGCTGCGGTTTTCGTTGAACCGTGGCTTAATGTGCGCTGTAAAAACCCGATTTTTTACTAGTGCATCATACTAAATTGGTTGTAATGAAATGAATATGAATATTCATATTTAGAATATATAAATACGCTTTTAATGTATTTGAAATTAATGAATGTTCATATGTATTAATGTAAAAACATATTGGAAACTCAATATCTAGTAATAATAAATTTGTGAATTTTATTAAAACACTTAAGGAATCACGCACAGGAAAACAATTTCATTAAGTAGAAACACATATGTAAATAAGAGTTTAACATCTAAATAAAAACATACCATAAATATGTTTAGGTATCTCAAAAATTACATTTACAAATACTTAACAAAAATATAATTACTTATTATGTAATTTTGATAAATTTATAACTATTTCGTATAACTTTTTCGGGAATGAATTATAAACCTTCTATTTAACTTTTATGACAAAAATTACAAATCTTAGTGTAATTTTTTTTTCTGACAACAACAGTAAATCTTTTAATATAAATTTTCAGAGAAAATTATAAATCTTTTAATAACATATATGTAATAAAATTCCCTGTATACCTAATAAACTTTTATTCAGGTATGATGGTAAGTGTTAAATAAACTACTCATTTTATACCATTATCCTTTCTTTATGTTTTATTTAATATGAAACTTTAGTGAATATCCAGTTAAAGACTAATACTTAATTTTAGTGAATACCTATTTAACTTAGAATAAAACTATACATTATTTTAGTAAACCTTTATTACATAATATTTTGTTAAATTATATTAATTTAATAATTGATTTATGTAATTTAAAGAATACTAAATATGTGATGATTATTAAAATATAAATATATTAAAGTTATAGAAATTATTTTAAAATTATTAAAATTAATTTTTCTCTCCTCCCTCAAAAAGAATATTTTGGTATTTTATTAAAATTGATAAAATATCATAAAACATGTTTCAGTTTCATTAATACGTTAAGCTTTTTAAAAGTGAGAACAAAATGTTATATTCTTATAGATGTAGAAAACAGTGATTTTTGAGAGGAGACATCCTTCATAATTTATATCATCAAGAAAACATATAAGAAAAGTAAGTGAAGAAAAAATAATTGATTTAGAAAAGAACTATACAATATATCCAAGTAAATTTTTTCTATTATATATGTAAGATCAGTGAGAATTATGAAATTCAACCTCTTATTCATTTTCATTCAATTAAAATTATAAAAATTGCTTACATATTTAACTTAAAAAACTTACACAAATCCTACAATACTATTCCCTTGTAAGAAATTATGTTAGTGAGAAATAAATTAGAAAATTAAAGGACAACAAAATATGATAGATGATAAATGATAATATGGTTTAACATTGGAGAATTTGACATCGAATAGAGAGGAAACAAATTTTTTTCCAGTACTTACATATATAATTTATGAGTATGTTGGAAGTTTCACATCAACAAGAAATAAGATCAATTTATAATATACAAACCGATTTTGTGGGGTTGAGTTAGACTTAAAACTCACTTTCTAATATAATATCAGAGCCAAGTTAGAGCTTATTCTAGCAATATTTATTGTTTCTTCGATTTTATAGGGTTGAATTAAGCTTAAAATCTACTTTCTAATAAAATAGCTTTATGTTATTTAAAATTAAAATTAATGATTTTATTGTATCTTGTTCTATAAAAAAAAACGATTAAACTCAAAGACTTTCTGATAAAGAAAAAATAAACAAAAATGAATGGATACATAAAATAATTTGTGGGCAGCTTTATAATAGTTACAAATTCAAATTCATAGTTCTCTTGTGTCGTATTTTATAAAAATATAAAAAAATATAGCGACAAAACTATGGACTTTCTGATAAAGAAAATAAAATAAAATAAAATGAATGGATAGAAATATACGAAAAATAAAGTATAAATTAAACTTATTTGATTATAATAAAATGAAGAATAATTAATGGGAGTGATAGAAGTAAATAAAAACAGAGGATAAGTTAAATAAAAAGTTATCATAAATGCTATCTTCCTGTTTTTTAGCTGGAGAATACAAGATATCATACTGCAATAGTCAAACTGGGTAGTGTTATTTTTCTAGTTTTAAGCTTGAGATCCCTATAGTTTTTACAAATAATTGAACAGACCTAAATTTTATTTTAAAAAATGTGCCTATTTTTTTTATAATCAGGTTTTAATCACGAACTTATATTGAAAACATTATCAAATTATCCAAATCCATATTCACTTAAACATCGCCATTCTGGCATTAAAAAAATTGTTTTAAATTATTTTCATAACTGTTTTCCTTATCGGAACTGGATAGCCCCGTTCCTTCTGATACGTACTCAATTAATATTTTACCTTTGAAGTTTATAACATATTATGGTATCAAACTAAACTATTGCTATAAACTTATATTATAAGAATATAACCAAAGCAATTTGTGACGTAGTTTAGTCATATATATTCTAACTTTTTTTTTCAGTTCTCGTTGCCATCCTCGTACATGTTATCTCAGACAAAAAAATTAGCATTAGTACAGGGACAAACGTGGTCTCTCTGTCTCAGGCTATCATGTTTATTTATTTGTTTGTTTCAGTTTATACGTATTAAAAAATAAATCTAAATTTGAAAAACACCTTATATTTTAGTTTTTCTTTTATCTAATCATACATTAGATTTATTTAAAGAAAAGGCCATTAACTTCTGCAAAATCATCAGTACTTTGTACATGTTTGGTGAAGTAGAAAAAGAAGAAAAACAGTTCCTCATAAAATTTATAAATTTTATTTTTATTATACAGGGACAATGACAAAGAAAGAAATACACAAAAAAAAAAAGGGAACAACTAACAAAAACATGTTCCCAAGTTCTTGTAATTGCTGCAAATCGTAAAAAAGATCAAAACAATCTCAAGAATCCAAAACTTTACAAATGAAAGGGAAAAAAATAGGCAGACTTTTTTTGTACACGTTCCTCTGGCAATCAAGGCAAAGTGAAAAATGGAGATTTTCCATTAAAAGAAATCCAAAGAACTAATCAGGGAGAGACCAATTCAAGACTATTTTCCCTGCAATAACGTAGCTGCAGTGAGATTTGTCTCTCCATCTGAAGCTGCCGTCTGAAATTGGTTATGAACATCTCTGCTCTCTTATCAATATCATCATCCGAGGGACCGCTTATGGTCCTCTGAAGGGTTTGCGCAGGAGGAGAAATCAAACCCTCCGAATCCGTTTCCTCTGAAGAAGAAGTAGCACAAATCATCAACCCCGGTCGATCGTTGAAACTAATCTGGCGTTTGCTCATAGAAACGCGGCGGAGAATGTTCGCCGCATGCCATGCGTGGCTGAGCACGGTGGCGCTCAGCAGGAGCTTCACCTTGTTCACGGCCACTCTCAGGCGGCTCAGTAGAGACTTTTTGTGCGAGTTCATGTTATTGTTGGTCATTGTTGAAGGCAAACAAATGAGATAATAGTTTTCGTAAAGTTGTTATCGTTGGTGAAAGATATTTATAACAACTGGATGATGACGCGCTGTTTCAATTTAAAATATTATTGAAGCAGAACGTGGTGGATTATTGAGGAAGGAAACGGACGCTGAAACTTCCGTGTACAAATAGATAACCGTGTACACTTTGAAAACTTAGTCTCATTAGATATATCCATGGTCAAAGTTTGATTTTTTTTTCTCATTTCAATTCAAGCTTTGCTTGTTGGTAGACCCAGTTACAGCAGGGTTGCTATAATCATCACCACTTTCAAGACAATTTTCCATGGGTTAATGATTTTTGTTAATCTTTAGAACTTATATTAGCTGTGAAAAATAAAAAGAAAAAAAGCAGAAAATGTAATGCAGAAAGTAATATAAACAGTAATATCCTTAATGAGTTTAGTAATATGGTCAACACGAAATCATAGTTTGCTGCCAATGAGATGCTGTTAGTTTTGTGGCGGCCGGCCGAGCTTGTCTTATTGCTTCTGTAATTCTCTACCCAATCTTTAAGAATGGTGAAAATTACTAAAATAGATTAAAATGAGACAAGGTAAACAAAATAATTTAATGCAATGCTGGAATATTTTTAAGAAATTTACAGAGTATACTAACTTTTCTTAACTTAATTACGAAACATTGAATATGTAATCAATTTAATAATTTTTATACTTGTTAGATATACTTTTGTAATAGAATCATAGTTAGAAGCGTGAGATGTATATGTCCTATATTATTATCATTTTATTTATTGGATGACTGTATTGATATGAGATATATTTTAAGTAAATTAATTTTTAAATATTTGTAATGAAATATTTTTACTTTGGTAGTATTATATTATTACAATGAGATGTTATATTTTTTATTTTATTAGTTGAGAAAAATATTTATTTTATATCTTTTTAATAACCTTTTTATAAATGAATTGGATTTAAAAGTGAATTTAAATCTTTATTAAATGTGTAGGTTTATGCATGGTATAAGTTTAGAAAGTTTTATATATTTTTTTTGTTAAGGTTGTTGTAATGTTGAATGATTATAGTTGGATTGATAAAAAAAGTTGTTTATTGAAGTAATATAATGGTGAAATTCAACACAAATGAATCTTCTATTTAATTTTGAAGGATATTCTTGAATTGAAATTATTGCGACGTGAGATTTGAGTATATTAATCTCGTTTAAAAAATACTTAAATCCTAAATTCTAAATCATAATTATTATTTGAAAGTTTTTTAAGTGTTGTGAGGAAAAAAAAATATTTCCATGCAAAAATAAGATAGAAAGATTGAATTTTGTTTTTGTTGTTTTCTTGCTTTATGTCACTCAATTGATTAAGAATATAATAAAAAGTAAGTTTTTATTTTTTGTTAAATGAGACTTTGTCATCAATTTTACATAATATATTACTTAGTTATGTTATTTTAACGAACGAAGTCATACCTTTGATTGATTTAATTGTTTATGTATTAAGTCTAGGTATATATGTTAACATAAGTATTTTACTTTTATTGAGCATTTAAATCACCTAAATTAAAATATCAAAATGATGAGAAAAATAAATAAAAATTTCATTCCACAGTCTCAAAACATGTTAACATCAAATAGTTATTTCACATTTGAAGCACATATTGAGGTTTTGATTAATCTATGAGGCTTAAGTTAATTATATGTTAATTTATTTAGACCGTACTTGTGAATTTTCTAAAACACGATTTTATATCTTTAGAATATTTTTAAGTATCGAATATATATTTTTATAATTTTAGATTGAGTATTTCGAAAGATATTAAAAATACCTTCTAAAATAACATATCCTGCAAATATTATAAAAAAAGTGCAGAAAAGTTTATAATTTTTATGAAAGATGGTTTAGGAATTACGAGATTGAAGGGGTGTTTAGAGAAAAGTGGGTGCATGAAGAAAATATGCTAGCCCTACATACTCTCATATTAGGTTAGGTGTTTCACCCTACCTTCAACCCCTTCATCCTACACCTCCAAAGTTTTTTAAAATACTTAAAATATTGGTTTTTGTACAAAACTAAACAACTTTGAAATATAAATTATAGATTTAGGCAAAATAAATTAGAATTTCGAAAATAGACAAACAGTGGAGTCCAAACAACTTCAAATAAAGAAGTCGTGTCTCTTGCATGACTTCACCCTGACACAATAATCAGAGATGAAGTCGTGCACCCCCAAAACAATTTTAAGACATGTTAATTATCAAGTGTTGTAATCGATTACCACGCCACTTTTCATAAAAATTTATAAAAAGACTGAAGTCGTAGAGAGGGTGACGACTTCTCTTATTGAAGTCATGCGAAAGTTGCTCCCTCCACCACCCCAAATGAATCCCTACACCTCCACAATTTTTCTTTTATTCCAAAATTATCTTTTCTTACATTTACTATTTACCTTTTTAACTTTTAATGTTAAAACCTAATCCCTTCCCCCACTTCTCATTTTCACTTTCACGCTGCAGCACTAATACCCTCACTTTCCTTTCTTTTTCTCTGCAACCCCATTTGAAGTCGTTTGGATCTCTAAAACTTGCCTATTTTTGTAATTTGAAGATTGGTAATTTATATTTCAAATTTGTCTAGTGAAAAAACCTAAAATACATGTAATTAAGAAGCTTTAAATATTTAAAAAAATAAAAAGTAAAATAGTCAAAGATTATTTTTTCTTAGAGTTGTCCGTATGCAAAGATATTCTCCCCTTTTTCTTCTCACTCGCAATTCAACATACTTTGTATCTCATTTCTCCTTTTGGATTTTTGTCTCCCTCTCTCTCTTCTCTCAGTACACAGTCCATCTCATTATTAAAAAATTTCACATCAATTTTAAATACCAAAATTTTGTAATAAAAAAAGAAAAATTAATAATTTATTTTATATAAAATTAAGAAAAATAATAGAATAAATTAAACATTTATAATTAAATTATAAAATCATAAACTAATACTATAAATTATACATTTATAAATAATATAATCAATTTATAAATAATTTAAATAACTATAAATGTGATTTTTTATATTATAAAAATTAAACATTTAAAATGAATTGTTTATATTAACAAAATTTAATGATTATAAAAATTAAGTTAACTAGTTTTATTTATTTATTTTTATAAAAGAAATCTATTGTTAAATAATATTAGTAAAGAAGCATGCAGCAAACATAAAGCAATGTAAGCTGCAAGTAAGAAACATGTAAAAAAAAGATTAATTAAGCAGCATGCAGCAAACAGAAAGCAGCAAATATACATTAATGGGATCTGCATATCCGATAATTCATTTATTGACAACCGATTAGTACTTTCTTGGATCTTTACAGTTTAATTTTTTCTATAATATTTATATTAAATCTAAAATATTTATAAAAATTATTTTTTAACCATTAAAAATAATCTAATTAAATTATAAATTTATAAAAATTGATACATAAATTTATATATAATTATAAACTACTAAAATAATTAAATAAGTACCTGAAATTAAACTTTAATAAAAAAGTGGGATCTGCATGTCCGATTGCTATTTTATAGGATATCAACATCCCATAATCTCTTACTCAGATTTTTATATCCATACATATTTTGAATTTTATTTCTTCAAATATACTTTTATTAAATCTAACAAATTTATAAGAAATACTTTTTAATAATTAAAAATTTTCTAATTGATTTGTAAGTTTATACAAATTGATACAGAAATTTAAAAATAATTATAAACAAATAAAATAATTAAATAACTAATATAATTACATTTGTATATAACAAAACAGGAAAATGATATTTGAACAACCATTTTTGACAACATTTAGACACGCGCACACGTGTCTAAATTTGAGTGGTCCAGTTGGAAAAATTAAATGAAAATGGACCACTCAAATTTAGACACGTGTGCGCGTGTCTAAATGTTGTCAAAAATGGTTGTTCAAGTGTCATTTTCCAACAAAACATATCAAACATTCGGATATGGATATCCTACAAACAATACATCGAACATTGACATTCGATACAGGTAAAATCAGATTTTCACATCCGATATGCACATGTTTTTTTCTATTATATTACATGTTGATGTGTTTCTCATGCAAGTGAAACAAATTAAAACAAAAATAAATTGTTAACTTCCAAAAACAATCACCTACCACTAATGCAACCAGCACATCACTAAGAGGTATGCACTCTAACTAACAATGCAACAAAGCACTCCAACAAGCAATGCAATCAAGCAACAACACTCAATTTATGAACAAACATAAAGTTAACAAATAACCATCTCACTAATTAAGGATATTTTAGAAAATTTGAGGTGTAGATGAAAAGCTTAGAAGAGTAAGGTGAAACTATTGGGGAGATTCGATATACACACATATCTCCATACTAGTAAGATATTGTTCGCTTTGGGCTAAGCCTTCACGGATTTGTTTTTGGTACCATTCCAAAATGTCTCTTATCAATGGAGGTGTTTATGTGTATATAAACTCATGTCCAACTATTCTTTTATCCGATATGAGACTTTGTTTGTACCCCAACATCCTCCCTCAAACAAAGGACTATGGTTCTCCTTCCTCCTCCTATTGCGGAAGTCTTTTTTAATCCTCGAGTACACCATGGGCACACCATGGTCAACACTAAGCATCTCTTGTTCTTCACTTCTCATGATTCAACTGGCGATCTGTCACTGGCCACCTGCCTGACTCACCTGATCATGGAGGGATGCACCCGTCTGAGTCCGGTCACCAGACCTGAACTATGGGCTCTGATACCACTGTTGGAGAGATTCAATATACACACATATCTCCACACTGGTAAGATATTGTCCGCTTTGGGTCAAGTTATCACGGATTTGCTTTTGGCAACATATTGTCCGCTTTGGGCCAAATTATCACGGATTTGCATATATAAACTCATGTTTAACTTTTTTTTTTTTTTATCGAATGGAAGTCTTTTTAATCCTCAAATAC